CCTGTATAAGTAAAATTGCTTTTTAATGTGCTTCTTTGAAGCACACTAGACATATTGCAGTTTTGCTATCACATTCTTCACAGTATGTTTTAATTTTTTTTAATTTTTCTATCGGCCTTTCTACTAGTCACGCTTATTCTTAAAATTTTGTAACCTCTTGTACACTTCCTTCTCTTTTTATTATCTACATCGCTTTGCCTGAGATGGTATTTTTTGGGTGTAATTAGTCATCAGGGTTTCAACATTTCTTTATTTGCAAATGCCTTCGCTAATTCCAGTCTGAACTCAAGGATAGGTTGTCGCTTTTTTCGCGTTTTCTATTATTTAGCAACTAAGTATTGACTACTGCGGTATTAAATATTAATTCCACTGCCACTTTCCGGTACCACTTTAGTATTTTGCGTATTGGGCTTTTGTAAAAAGCCATTTGATCGCTAAAATCAACTCATTTTTCACAACGTCATAATCTAGAATAGTTTGTGGTTTTAGCACTTGTGTCTAATTTTTCTTTCCACCTGAATAAAACAAGATACAACTATTATGTTTAAATGTTGTAATAATTAAAACTGGTTCTTTGTCGACCCATTTTATCACTTGTGAAATCAATAATGGGGTGAAGTTTCAGTATAAGTAGTTGCGACTTTTTTAATCTAGATTTTGGTTTTGAATTTTTTGTAATAGAACATCTGCACATAAATTCGTTTCTTGAACTATGATTTGAATTCATCGACCCATACTCTAAAAGAAATGTGTTTTTACGTTGTCGGGAATATTATAAATTGGTTATCTTTCACAAAGCATTCGAAATATGATTTAAATTCTATTTCAGAAAAATTTTTTATTGCAACTTTTGTTCGACCTAAACTAAATTATTACACAAAACAAGTAATCTATTTTTTTATAGAAATGTAGAAATTTCCTGTCGAAATTTTATGTGTGGCATAAGTGACTGGTGTCTCGTATATACGGTCCTCTTATCGCATTACAAATATAATTCTCAATTAACAGTGCGGTACAAGATATATTTAGGTTGTATAATCAAGCCGTAATACTTGTCGTGAGACCATAAGACCGTATGTTATAAATAAATATATTCCTACAAGAATTATCTTAAAAAATGAGAAAAATACAATAAAAAAGTGCAATATGAAGTGTTATTTATAAAATGGCAAGTCATTCACGGGCGGACTGTTAAAAACAAAAGTTTTCAGTGTTCTATTGCTTGATTATTATTATCTGGTTGGTATATTTTAAAAATACTAGGGACATCCCCACCGACCACAATCTTCTTCTTACAACAATTAGGATAGAATTTAAAAGAACAAAAAGAAATAAGCAAATAATAGCTATTAACCCAGATAAGCTTAAAGAAGAATCCACTAGTAATAAAATACGGGAAGAAATACATAGACACTTGAGTAACAGAACAGTACAATCGACACAAACTCTCGAGGAAGACTGGCACTATATTGAGAAAACACTTAGAAGATTAACAAACCATGGATGACAGAAGAAATTCTAAACATGATGGACGAAAGAAGAAAATACAGAGGTAAAAATGAAACAACATACAAGCAAATACACAAGAATATCAGAATAAAGATCCAACAAGCCAAAGAAACCTGGCTAAGTGAAAGATGCCAAGAAATTGAAGAGTTGGAACAAAGACATGATACTTTCAATCTACATAAAAAAGTAAAAGAAGCCGCTGGAATCATATATTGAAACTTTTCCTACGAGTAATACACAATAGAGTATACAATAAACTAGACGAACACACTGGTCAAACTCAGTTTGGTTTTAAGAATGGGTACGGAACAAGAGAAGCACTTTTTTCAATACGTGTGCTAGTTGAAAGATGTAGAGATGTCGATTCTGATGTATACTTGTGTTTTATATACTTTCAGAAGGCGTTTGACCTGGTGAAACATTATAAACTAATAGATATTTTAAGGTTATGTAATATCGACGATAAAGACTTAAGGATCATTTCAAACCTCTACCAAGTACAAAAGGCTAAAATCAGAATAAAAAGCGAAACATCTGGAAAAATCAATATCGAGAAGGGAGTAAGACAGGGATGTGTCCTATCACCTTTGCTGTTCAATGTTTATTCTGAGAAGATATTTCAGAAAGCTTTGGAAGGCACCTCGGATGGTATATTTATAAAACGGGCAATGTATAAATAACCTGCGATATGCTGATGACACTGTCATACTGGCGAATAATGCTGAAGCCCTGCAACGCTTAATGAACCGAGTAACGACAGCCTGTAGAGAATTTGGAATGAAATTGAATACAAAGAAGACAAAAACGACGATCATCAGCAAGCACCAAAACAGAAGGGTGAAGGTCAATGTCGACGGAACAGATCTGGATAGAGTAACAAGAACAACGTACCTTGGAAGTAATCTTGATGAAACTTGTGACCACTCACTAGAGATAAGAATACGCCTGGAAAAGGCACGTACAATGTTTTACAAAATGCAAAAAGTTCTATCAACCGCCAGCTGGGCATCTCATTGAGAACTATAATACTTAAGTGCTATGTTTTCTCCACCCTGCTCTATGGTGTTGAAGCCTGGACAATGACAGAAGCAACACAAAAAAGAATCCAAGCATTCGAACTCTGGTGTTACCGTAAAATGCTCAGAATATCCTACATGAGCCATATGACGAATGCGGAAGTCTTGCGGAGGATGAATAAGGAAAGAGAGCTTATGCTTATAATAAAAGAACGGAAAACACAATATTTTGGTCACATCATAAGAAGTCAAAAGTATGAACTGCTCCAACTTATAATCGAAGGCAAAGTCAATAGCAAAAGAGGACCAGGAAGAAGACGCAACTCTTGCAAAAAAACTCGCAACTCTTGAAAAAAAACTCTAGCAACTCTTTCTAAAAACCTACGGCAATGGACGAACATGACCTCCATATAACTATTCAGAACTGCTACAAATAAGATTAAATGTGCAAAAGTAATGGCCAACGTCCTTAAGGATAAGGCACCGTAAGAAGAAGATTGGTTAAGTGCTATCATTTGAGATATCGTACGTCACTATTGGCCTAATAGGACCAAAGGTACATAACTAAGGCCCTTTTGACATGCAAATCCATTACCTCATTGTATCTCATTGTATCCATCATGCAGGGCAAAATTAAGGGCAAAAGAAGTGTGGGAAGAAGAAAAATATCGTGGCTTCGTAATCTACGTGAATGGTTCGGGTGTAGTTCGATTGAACTTTTCAGGCGCGCTGCTAACAAAGTCGCAGTGGCCATGATGATTTCCAATCTCCGGTAGGAGTGGCACGAGAAGAAGAAGATCTCATTGTATTTTATTTGTTAAATCCTTTCATTTGAGGTACTGCACGTCATGATTGGACTAACAGAACCGAAGATACACAACTAAGGCCCTTTTGAAATTGTGCTGTATTTCATTTTTCTATCCCATTGTATTCCTTATGGTAAATCTTATCATTAGAGGTACTATACGTCACGATTGGACTAATAGAATCAAAAATACGTGACTACGGCCCTTTTGACATGTTACTGTATTTGATTTTTCTATTTCATTGTTTTCGATTGGTTAAATCCTATCATTTGAGATACTGTACGTCACGATTGGACTTATAGAAACGAAGATATATAACTAAGGCCTTTTTGACATGCTGCTTTTCTGTCTTATTGTATTTTATTGGTTAAATCCTATCATTTGAGGTGCTGTACATCACGACTGGAACAATTGGAGCAAAAATATGCAATATATACCCCGTTATATATACCCAATATGTAACCCGTTATTTTTAATCAAACAAGATGCTAGAATGATTTATGGATGAAAAAAATATATATAAATTCTTAAATTTACGATTTCGTTGTGGGTAATATTATATTCAACAGCGATGCCAAATTTCTGATGCCAAAATGATTGATAATGAAAGTGCGATATACATTTTCATGTATATAATGGCAGCGAGTAAACGGTAAACCCTGAACTAAATATATATAATATTTTCACTGTACCATCATTTTAGACTCAAACATTTCCTGGAATAAACTTATATAACTCAGTAAGGGATAAAAAGAGAAAGCGGACATTTTAAAATACCAACACGGTATCAAATCTCTAATCATTGAGATGGTTAAAATTCTTGTAACAAGTACAGGAAAAAAGTTATTAAGGTCTTGTAAAGTAGCGTCGATATACAGATGCTACTTTGCACGACGATGCTACATTGATGGTAAAAGCATAATGTATCGATGCCAAAATGATAGTAGGATGTATATATATATTATATATATATATATATATATATATATATATATATATATTATATATATATATAATATATATATATACATATATATATATATATATATATATATATATATATTATATATATATATATATATATATACAAATCACTAACCTGCGATATCTGATACTAAGTACTTCCTTTACGCCCATGATTTGGCAAAATGCATTCAACAAAAGGATTTTCGGAAGATTTGAAAAAGTAGAGAAATACAATGAACATTTACTATCAACAGAATTCCCTCCGACCCAAACCATCCATAACTCCACCTACGCTCAAAAGAAGCTAAGCGAAAACTACAAATTACATCCAAGTTTTGACCTATGGTACTTTTTACAAATTTTGTTTAGAATTTTCGCTTCGGGTATAACTGGAAGTGGCATATCTGTCAAAATATTCTCTTTAAGTTCGTCACATCTCGTAATTCTTATAAATATTGTGTAACAATAATGGGGACAGCCGATCTTCCTGTTTCAGTCCAGAATTTACTCAAAAAGTCTTTGCTGTTTTTTGTCCTATTCTAACTTGTGCAAAGGAGTTACTTCCACACATTCGAGTTACCAGCTAGTTATTTATAAACAAAATAGTTATTTGTATTTTCAGAACAAAAATAATTGAACCTAAAGATCGTTTTAGTTAATGCTGGAGGAAAAGTGTCTCTATATAATATTTAAATAAAAAAAGTAGTGTTGCACATTTTTATTATAAAATATAAATTACAGTTCAGACTTATCTCTCAGATTTTTTAAAATATTTGAACATAAGGTCATCAGATATTTGAAATACTCATCTTCACTTCCTTCTGTTTGATGTAATTGTTGATAGGTATCTATTAATTTAGCCAAAATATTTCTGTTGAACTTTTTACATTTGCCACTCACTAATTCCATAGCTATTAAACATTTTTCAACTGAATCATGATCATTATGGTAACTACTGACTATATTAACTAGTAGAGTGTTTAAATTGAGGCACCAATCTTGATTTAACAATTCATTCTCCAAATCAATGTTACTGTACTGGTTTAACACTAAACTATTTGAACTATCTAGTGATTGTCTCTTTTCAAGGAACAAATCTGTCATTACAGTAACTACTTTTAGTTGTAATTTTATAGAGTCTTTCTTAAAGATTTGTAAAATCACAAATACTCCACCATTTTCTAAAAATCTCTTCTGTGCCAAAGGGAATCTTCTTACGAGACAACTCAAGGCAAACACAGCATTGCTTTTAGTAAGCTCTGATTGATCAGAGCTTAAAAACCTCAAGAGAATTGGAATACTGCCTGTTTCTAGTGCATGGATTTGTACTCTTGCATTGTTCTGAACCAGAGATCCAAACAACTTCAATGTATTCTGTTTGATCTGCTCGTGAGTAGAATTTAAATTTTTGTAAATAACATCCCTAAAACCATTTTGGCGAACAAACTCTAATCCAGTGTCAAACTGATGGCCCAAGTAATCAAAATCTTCCAGAATATTAAGTACTGCTCTAACATTTATCTTTTCTTTAGTAATTTCTTTTTGGTGCTGCTTAAAAAGATCTTTTAAAATCTCGGCATCTACCTTGGAAGTTAAATTTAAGGATCCCAATTCCTCTTTCAGTTGTTCGTAAGTTCGAAAATCAGATTTTAATTTCCCACCAGGCTTTACATCATCATTTTTAATTTTCTTCATCACTTCTTTTAGCTCATCAATAGTTGGGTGATCCTGTGGTTTTTCAGAAGGGACTTCCAGAACACTGGTCTTTTTATTTTCATGGTCATCATCTTTTCCAATTAGTTTTGCTTCTTTAAGACCTGTTTGGATATTTATACGATAATGTAAACCACTTGGTACTTTCTGACCTACAATATTAAAATACATGTAATGTCAAATTTCTTAAATATAAAAGCCTACATACAAATTAGCAAATTTAATTTTGTTTCTAAGATACAGAAATAAAGAACAGCCGCTATGAATTCCATTACAGATTTTGTTTAAATAATATGATGCATTATCAATGACACTCACTCACATCAATAACACAATATACACTGAATTCAATAGGATTGTCAGGGCAGACATTTTGTAGTTCGTAAACACTTTATTGTAAGCGGCTATATATTTATTTATTTATTTATTAGCACACCAATTTACTTCTCAATTATCATTTTTGCCGGTTACATCTGCTATAAGTCCGAACTAGATAAAGTATATTCGCCTTGTTGCGAAATTTATTATTTAGTACCTCGAGCAGCTTATCAGTGTCGTTGAGGTATACCTCAAAGTCAAAAGAAGGACAGGCGGACATTGTTATCCTTTTCGAAAGTAATATTCTTATTACAATACGGCAACATTGTTAAAACTCGCCGGCAAATAGTAGAAATAAATGTTAAAATCAGGTAGTCAGAAGTATTACATGAGCGCACAGTCAGTTAACATGGCATTAATACCAACGTGTAGTACATTATGTTAATAAACCGGATAAAAGGAGGTGGGCATTTGTGAAAGAAAAACAAATGATTAAATCGGTTTATAAGTGATTACATAGAAGAAGATATGTTTATAGAGGACGTCGCGGCATTGTATTGTTTTAACGAAAATATCGGCTCGTACAGACATACAGAAATTGTATTGGACGATATTACGAAAAGTATAATCCAAAGAACAGTTCATGGATTTTATTTTAGGAAAGAAATGTCCACGTAAAAGGTTATTTAACGAGAAATTAATGCAGACGCAGATGATACTTTAAATAAAATATCTATGCGGGTATTACAAAGAGGATTCCGTGAAATGGATTTTCGGTATGTAAAGAGAAAAGTTTGTTAATCATAATGACATCAAAAGTATGGCAAGAGTTAAATATTAAAAGTTCACGACAGGCTTTTAATGAGCGACTTTCAACCAGCTTAAAAGCACCTTCGGGCAAAGGAAGACGCGTCATTATTACGCACATAGGAAGTGATTCAGGTTTCATACAAGTTGGTTTATATACCTCTACCTGTATCAAAACAGGCGATTATCATGAGGATATTAATTCGGATGTGTTTGAAAAATGGTTTTCCTCTATACTGACTCTTGTAGAACCTGAATCGGTAATTATAATGGACAATGCACCTTATCACAGCCGTCGTATGGAAAAAATACTGACTTCTGCATCTCGAAAGGCAGATATAGTAGGTTGGCTAGGAAGCAAAAATATAGATTTGATGAATTCATGATAAAAGTTCAATTACTTGATGTAGTATGCAAACATAGGACTTCCTACATCAGATTTGCAGTAGACGAAATGGCACGTGAGCATAACAGCACTGTATTAAAATCCCCACCGTATCATTGTGAATTTAATCATATCGAGCTATGGGCACATATAAAAAATGAGGTAGCGCAAAAAAAAAACATGACATTCAAATTAAAAGATGTCAAATTATTATTAGAACAAACCATATAACCACTTCCAACTTTACATGCATTAAACATACACAGAATGAAAAAGATAAAATGTGGGAAGTAGACATGCATGTTGATGTTCTTATCGAGCCCATTATTAGTACTCCAAGAGAAGACAGTAGTAATGGTGAATTAACATCTGGAAGTGACTCAGCATAAACAGATTTATTTTAAATACTAACTAATATAGTTCTAGTCAATTTGTTTTTTGTTGCTGCTGTTGTTTTACCCCACGAGGTTATAATGTTGTAAGTACTTACCTAATAACTTTATTATTATTAAAGCAAGTTTGTTCCTCAAAATTAAGGTTAACATTAGGTTGTCGCGTCTATTATTATTTTCTGTAAAGCAGTTAGTATTTATATTTGAATATGAATTTTATTTTAAAAATATCAAAAGATACATAAGATCTTTATTTCAATATCAGTATGTTTAAAGAAGTCTAATGTAAAGGGTTCTTTTCGAATTAGTCCTCACAATGATTTCCCTTATTTTAAAAATGATACCCTGACAATCCTATTGAATTTGGACTATATGTGCTGATAAACTTGATTAAAGCCATTTCTTGTAGTTGACAAAATTCATGTCATCATTATTTTGACTTAAAAATACACAATTTGAACCACCATGAACCACACAACTTCATTAATTTATTTTTTTATTAAAAAAATTTTTTCATATAAGAACATTTTTATTTGTGATTTACAATCAACATCTTTTTTAAGTCTAACTCTGGTTCAAAATATAGAATGTTGTTTATATATGCAGGATAATGTAAAAAAAATCAAGTCATAATCTTTAACAGTTTATTATTTACAAGTTTCTAAAGTTAAAAAAATGCTTTCAGAAGAGCTCAAAAACTAAAACAGTCTGATTTAGAAACCTCCAGCCTCTTATTCTTCGTTAATTTTTTTTGTAAACTCAAGTTTTTTTTCTAGATTTTTGTTTTCTCAACTTTTAGGTGAAGAGCGAATATTTAGTTTGTATGGAACTTTCATTTTTTTTGCTAATAAAGAATGTTCTGTTTCTTAAGTGTAATATACCATTCTATTTAGAAAACTATGTAATATAATAAAATTGAAGTTATACTTCTATACGCACAGTTGGTGTTGGAAATGTGCATAGGAGTGAATCTGTGAAACCATTACATATGTAGGATAATGAGTAAGAGAGAGTCAGAAGATATATTTTATCTCTCTTCCTCCCTCCAGAATAAAAATGTTCCTTTTGTATATATATATATATATATATATATATATATATATATATATATATATATATATATATATATATATATATGTATTAATATTATTATTTACGTGATATGTTTTGTATTATTTATTAAACATTTATAATTATTTTAGGCTTTATATTTCAAAATAATCACTGTTTGACAGAGAACTGTCAATTTTGAAATCCTTTAGTGTCATGTCTAATTGGCAAATCCTTTACGTGTTTGGTTTTTACACTGGTGTTTGTGAGTTCGAATATCAATTATGAATTTCCTTTTTTATTTTTGAAATATTTAAAAACCTCACGTTAATATTATTAAATATATGTAATATACCCAAAAATGCTAAATTTTAAAATAAAATGAAAATTTACAACATAATCCGAGTTGTTGGTTTTTTTATTTTTATCTTCATAAAGTAAGTTATGTATATTAGCAGTTTTAACTACTTATGAATATTACATTTTAATTTATATTGTATTATTATATTGAATTATGTTGCAGTGTATTTATTGCATTGTAATTTTAATAACAAACAAACAAACAAATACATAACTAGTTCTTTTTCTCTTTCTACTCTCTCTTACCTGTAGCATTACATATGTAATGATTGTGCAGATTGACTCCCATATAAATTTTTAACGGCGAACGCGTGTATAGAAGTATAACTTCTAACGGCATCCCACTGGACTGCCAGAGCCGTTTTTTTTTCAGGGGTACTTACCTGGTCACAGAATAAATTACAATTGTTATTTATTCTGTGACCTGGTACCCTTAAAAGAATTGTCCTTAATTCTCGAATGTTGTTTCTTATTTTAATTTCAATTAATTTCACTAAAAATCTTACAGGTTTTTTAGACACAGATGCAAAGATGTTTTGATCTTTTTTGAAAATACTTTTTGAGGTTATCTCAAAAAACCGCTAATACAAAAATGTGTAGACTATTTTACCTTCTTTTATGGTTTGCCATTCTTCCGTAGCAATAAATTCATCGCCATTGTTATCTTCCTTATTGCAAGTAACTTCAAACAATATTAGGAAAATAATGAAAATACAGTGATCGTATTTCATCTTTCAAAAAAATCAAGTTGGAGTTTAGTGAGTTAGTGACAGTGACATTTGCTATAAAGATATTTAATTCAAGTTGACGTGGACAAATAACATTCTTGATGACTTTACTTGTCTAGTTAAGTAACACTTATTGTACATAAGTAAATATTTTACTGTTTCTTTTCTTGAAAATCGAAACTATTTCTCCTTATTTTTATTTAAATCCAAATACCCTATGGTGATTCATTGGGTTGTTCAGAGACAGAAGATTTGATAGCATGACAGCAACTGTCAGATGCAACAATGTCACTATAGAAAGATATTTTTGCAAACATTTCCAAGAAATATTAATTAATTACCAAAACCAAAGATCATGTATATTATAACCATGTGAATACATACTATTAATATTAATTTAACAAATTATAGACGTGAGGTAAGTAATCCTTCACGAATTCACTTAGGCTTTTGTTTATAAATAGGGCGTCTAACAAAAGTAAATAAATATTGAATGAAAGAATAAATATAAATAATGCCTGAAGAATGTCCTCAAGACATGTATAAAATTGAATTTTTAATTTTAAATATATTGATTTTTTGCCTTTACTTTATTTATAAACAGTTACACTTGTTTAAACTAGTATATGTCAACAAATTAATAATGACATAATAGTCTGTTAATGACGAATTGCCCTGCAATTTAATGCCAGCATAATATTAGTTTAAAATTAAATAACAATTTAGATTTTATTACCCGTGCCGTGACTCATACACAAAACATTTTAACACATTTTCTTTTGTTTGGAACCATTGTAGCTTAAATATGTGCAATAGCTTTTGTTTTGTGAATTACATGTATTGGGATTGGGAGTATCAAATTTTAAAATAGAAACTATTAGGAATATCTAAACATAGAAATAAATAGAATAACAAGTCCTAGCATTGTTAAATTATTCTCAAAATTGCTAAAAAAGTAATATGAAGGGACTTCACTTTTAGAGTACCTATATTTAAATGGTTCTATGTGACAATAGTCTTAATATTAATCGACAGAAACATTTCAAACTTATTCAAATGAACTGTAAAGATTGACACACGTTAACAACCAAAAAATTCTGAATTTTTTTTTATTTCTAAATGTAAACAAGTACTTTTTCTTAAGACTCTTTTTTCCAGCTAAAGATCTACTGCTTACATTACTAATAACACAAATCCACATACATCGATGTAGGTAATACATACATAATCCAAGGATAGGTTCAGGTTTTTAAAAAGTCATTCAGTTCTCATTAATGGATACATTTGGGAATTCCTGGATCTACTGAAAAATCACTATTGTTATATAACTGTAAATACTTAACTTCATCAGTCATTGATGTTTTTTTTGTCATTTTTGGCATTGTAGGTATACTATTTAATATTGTAATAGGTATTTTTTCAAAATTTAGGATATCTACATTTTGTTACCACCTTGCTGAATCTAGGCCAGAATATCTACATTTTTGTTCACTGTTCTGATTGATGACTTTGATATTTGAACAAAACCATTTGAAAAATAACAATTGTGGTGGTTACTTAGTTCCGTCCAAATCATCAGTATTTTAAACTACAGGTGCTTTGTCTTTCCCATTGATCATTGCTAAATATGTTCAAGGCATGTTGTACATACCAAATGTGAAGCCCAAGATTTAACATAATCTTTCAAGTAGATGCCGAAATTGGTCAGATAAGTTAATTTCACAAGGTCAGAAACAGGTTTTTGTTTTCTTTCAAAATACATTCACCACATAAAAAATTAAAAAACGTTTTACACAAACAAGACAACACAACACAGTAGAAATATGTAGATGATGTGTTCTAAATTTAGTGACTAGAAGCATTGAATAAATTTCTGATGAACATCAACAATAAAGATGAATCGATCAGATTCACCATGGAAAAAGAAAACAACAACTCACTTTTCTGGATGTTTAAATCACAAAAGAGGACACATGACATGCAACCATAGTTTACAGAAAACCAACCTACACCAACAGATATTTAAATTACACTTAAACCACAACATAAACGTCAAAAAAGGAATTACCAAATCATTATCTGATAGAGTCTGAAACACTTGCACAAGAAAGGATTCAAAGATGACAACAGTACCATATGTAAAGAGCTTATCAGAAAAATTGAAAAGGATAGGAAATAAGTACATCACAACATTCAAAACAACCAACATACTGAGATCTATCCTGTCCAAAAACACACAACACACAAGAAAGATCAAGAACTGCATCTATAAAATACATTGTGAATGCAACAATTTCTATGTGAGTGAAACTGCAAGACCACTAAGTGTCAAGATAAACGAACACGAAACATGCATCAAGAACAAAGACTGACAAATCTCAGATATGCAAACATGCCTGGGATAACAAGCTTAGAGTATAATGAAACAATGTATCAATAATCATGAAAGAAACATACATATAAAAGAGAAAAGTTGAAAAAGCAGCTCTGATCCTACTTAATAACAGAATGTGTGTTTGCTACTGTGTGCTGATACCCATAAGCACAATGTAGCTGGCTTTGGTTGTCAATACTAAAAGAAGAAGTCAACAACAAGAACATACCAACAATAGGAGAGTAAAGGATGTCACAGACATATTATCTACAATTTTACATAATACATGCAACACACAATACACAAACATATACTCTAAGTAAACACACATTCCATAAAACAAAAACACACAAAACAGTCAGAAATTGGTATTCCGAGGGTAGAAACACCACCCTCAGGTTTATTTCAAACAAATTGAATTATTGGTTTCTTTAAACCAAATATTGCATACAAGATCGAGGTTAAGTAAGTCAACCATCAATTTTGAAAAACTTGTTAGTTATACATTTTGGCAGAATGTTTAAGTTTTTAAAAATCATAAATTGGGTTTTCAATCATTAGGGATTTCCAGGTACCTACCTTAAACAAGGTAATTTTATTTTATTTTATCAGAAAATTTTGGTTTTGAGCTGTAAACATATTCTCTTATTTTTAACTGTTTAAAACTATACAATTGATTCCAAAAAAGCTAGTATCAAAAAAAAAAGAAAGACATTCAAGGAATATAAAAAATAATATTGTTTTTAAAATATTTGGAAGCAAAACTAAGAATATAAAACACTAGAATGTGGCTCGATTCTAACGCATCAGGATTCTCCAATGTATGATGTTCTACTAAATTGCTTTGTCACACCAAAAATATTCTGTGCAGATTTATTTTGATAATATGAATAAACATAAAAAATGTAAAATAAAATGTTTAAAGACACACAAAACAGTACACTACAAATTAGCTATAGTATCGTATTTGCCACTTAGTAACAAACAGACTTCAGTTTAATAGCCGTCGTTGTTTCTCCACGGGTGGTAACAAATAAAAACTGATTGATTTTTTTTCTACCTTAATATAATCGTTATTTCCACCTCTTTAATCTGCTATGTCACATGTTAGGATTTAATCAGTTGTTTATTTTGAACTCAGAAAAAGGCCTTCTTTAAGTCAATAAATCAAAATTCATCTTACAGTAAATCTATTTTTATCCATAGTGCCCTATAATATTTTCTCATGTCGCTGTATGTTTATTAATAATGGAGATACTGTGTAAAGCCATTTTGGTAGTTGCTTTGTTTGTTTTTTTATCTTAATATATTCCTTATCCCTTCCCCTTTTATTTAACGTGATGTAATGTCGGTGCTTTTCGTTAAGGACATACAGACAGACTGAATTACCAAATTATATATAATAATACTGTCATGTCATATCTTTTATGTCGCTAATGAACATAAAGAACATAATGTGTAATGACCTTTTGCTAGTCGCCTTGTTCATTTTTTTTATCTTAATATAATACTTATCCACTCTCCTTTCATTTAACGCATCACATGCTCCAATCAAGACCAATAACAATGGAGGTATGATGTAATGCCAGTGCTGGGCATTTCGTTACGGATAGACAGACAGTATAAGCAAATTATATGTATTGATACTATCATGTGATATCTTGTATGTCGGTATCAGTTCATTAATAACGAAGATAAGGTATACGCCTTTTTGGTTGTCGCCTTGTTCGTTTTTTCTATCTTAATGTAATACTTATCTTCTTCCCTTTCATTTAACGAATCACACGCTCCAATCGAATCAATAACAACGGAGGTATGATGTAATGCCGGTGCTAGGGTTTTCATTACGGACAGACTTCAACATTTCGACATTCAACATACTTCTTAAGAACAGGAACTCTTTAATTAAGTATATTTATTTACACTCTATATTAGACTTTTGTTGACGATAGTTTAGAAGTAAAAAGATACACTACAAATAAGCTTTAGTCTCGTGTTTGACACTCCTGATGATTTTTGATTAATATATGCATAAAACGCTTATTGAAGTTATACTTCATACGTGCGTTCGCCGTTGGAAATTTTTACGGGAGTGAATCGGCAAGATCATTAAATATGTAAGATATAGGTAAGATAGAGACAGAAGATATATTTTCTCTCTCGAGAATAAAAATGTTAATTATGTATATTAGAATTTGTTGTTTCCCAGTGAGGTAATACAGAGATAGCAGTGAATTATTTGATTACTTTATTTTACAAAAGTACTAAAAACTAAACATGTGCTACATTCTACAAAATATATTTTACAACTGACATATGACAACCGGAATCACTTAAGACATTGTGAGCCAGTGTTGCCAAGTACAAAATTCCAATACTCCTCCTCGATTTGAAATGTTGGAACATGAAAATCGTAACTATTATAATTAACAAAATGATATTACAATTCATATAACATAAATTTTATTTCTTAGATTTATGAAAGTCTCGGTACCTAAAGATTTAGTTAAAATATCAGCTAAATTTTGCTCAGTTGATATATAATCCATTACAACTTCTTTCTTAGAAATTAAGTCTTTTAAAAAATGATTTTTTATATCTATATGTTTTGCTCTTTTCGAATTTTCATTACTGTTAGACATTAAAATTGTACTTTTATTGTCACAGTATAAAATTGTTTTAACAGTTACATTAAAATTTCCCAGTATACCCTTGACATTGATTAAGTCTTGAGCTGTTTGTGCTGCTGCAATGTATTCAGCTTCAGCTGTTGATAATGCCACACAGTTTTGTTTCTTTGAAAACCATGATATTGGGTTATTACCATATAATAATATACATCCACTCACACTTTTCCTATCTTTCTTATCTGTTGCCCAATCGGCATCTGAATATCCATTGAGTGTTATCTGGCAATCTGTATTTTTATAATAAGTTAATCCCAGTTTCCTACTTCCTTGTAGATATCTTAAAATTCTTTTTCCAGCATTCCATGTCTCTGTAGTAGGACAATCTAAAAATCTACTCAAGTATGACACTGCATAACTAATGTCTGGCCTACTTGTTGTTGATAAATACATCAGTCCTCCAATTAATTGCCTGTAAGGAATATTAGTTAGAATTTCACTGTCCTCAATGTATTGAAATCCCTTTTCCATTGGAGTCTTCTTTGGTTTACATTCCTTCATATTAAAATGATCCAAAAGTTTTTCTATAAATCTTTCTTGATCAATTTTAATAGTATCTTCTGTCCTAGTAATATTCATACCTAAAAAATGTTTAACTTCCTTTAAATCTTTTGCCTGAAAATTATCTTGTAATAATTTTATAACACATTGAACATCATTATCTTCTCCTATTAATAATATATCATCTACATATATTAATATCCAAACCTTTTTGTTATTGTATAAACAACAATCATACATAGATCTTTCAAAATTATTTTGACTAACAAATTCATTGAATGTATTATTCCATACCTTTGATGATTCTTTTAAGCCGTATAAAGCTCTATTCAATTTTAATACTCTTGAGTTTTTTATGGTAAGTCCTTCTGGTGCATAAATATAGACATCATTCTCAAGTAATCCATTTAAAAATGCAGTTGGAATATCCATTTGTCTGATTTTCCAATCATTTTGTAATGCTATTGATAAAAATAGTTTAATTGTTGATGTTCTTGCTACTGGTGAGTAATTTGGTTCAAATTCACTCTCCTCCTTAATTTGAAAACCTTTGGCTACTATTCTGGCTTTTTTAGTTCCATCATCCTTTGTTCTAAAAACCCATTTTGTTTGAATAGCTTTTTTATGTTTAGGTAATTCTACTTCTGTCCATGTACTTAGCTTTTCATGTGAAAGTAGCTCTTTTCTTATGGATTCTACCCATTCAGGATCTTTTATGGCATCTTCATAGCATAAAGGATCATTTTCTTCTGCTGATATTAAACAATAAGCTGTATAAGTCTCATATTCACTTAAATATTTGGGTGCTTTTATTTTTCTTCCTGTTTTTGTTGTTTCTATCTTTGGCATGCATTCTTCATAATTTTCTGAACTTATATTCTCCGTTTCATCTTCATTAGCTTCATTTAAATCATCATCTTGAATTTCTATCTCTATATCATTTATTCCCCCTTGCAGTTCATTTTCATACTGTACTTCTATTGTTTTCTTATTTGTATCATCCATCATATTGGTCTTAGTGATTTCATCATAATTAGTTAAAGTTTCATCAAATCTCACATCTCTTGAACAAAAAATTTCATTAGTTTCATAATTCCACAATCTATATCCAGCTCCTGTATATCCTATCATTATGCAAGGTTGTGCTCTTCTTTCTAATTTGCTTTGTTTTGGTAAGACTACTGCCCATGCCTTACTTCCAAATACTTTCATTTTTGATAAATCATTTTTATGGTACCATCTTGTGGCAGGTGTTTCTCCGTTATTTGCTTTAGTAGGTGTTCTATTTAATTCATATGCTGAGCACAGAATTGCTTCCCCCCATAACTCTCTTGGTAGATTAGTTTCAGCAAATTTGGTTCTTACTTTGTCTAATAAGCTTCTGTTCATTCTCTCTGAAATCCCATTTTCTTGTGGAGTATATGGCATTGTATATTCCACTTTAATACCTTTATTTTTACAAAAATCTCTAAATGCATTAGATGTAAATTCACCACCATTATCAACTCTAATTCTTTGCGTTTTTAGATTATGCTGAGTTTTAATTAACTTAATAAACTGAATAATATTTTGATCAGCTTCATGTTTATTTTTTAATAATCTTACTACTAAAAAATGTGAGTAATCATCTATTAATACTTGAAAGTATTTATAACCTTCAGATGTTGGTGTAGATATTGGACCTGAAATATCTGAGTGTATCAACTGACCAATTTTTGTTGTGTATTTAAAACATTTATAAAATGGTTTACGAGTACTTTTACCTTCCATACAATCTTTACAAATTTCTGAACTATAAGGTAGTCCTAATATTTTTAAATTGTGCCTATTTATGTGCCCTAATCTCCTATGCCATAAATTATCATCTATAGTCTCATTTACATAACTTACTATATGGTTTGTCTCATTACAATAATTATTTTTATTATTAACAAAATCTACCTTTAAACAAAATAAATTATTCAACATTTCACACTGAAATTTTGATCCATTTTTATTTATTATAGCTTGTCTTTTACCATTAATATCATTAACAAATGTTACTTTAAAACCTTTTTCTAATAATTTAGATACAGAAATGAGGTTATGTGATATACCTTTAACAATAAGTGCTTCTATTTTAATATCTCGTCCTTGACATGTAGCTTTTACTGTACCTACCTTATTTGCTATCAATACCTCACCATTCTTTGCAGTTCCAATTTTCACTGTGTTGATTTGTTTTACATCTACCATATATTCAACCATTTCTTCCATTACCATGTGTTGTGTACATCCAGAATCCAGAATGAATGTCTGTACATTGAGAGTAGATATGTTACACGTAGTTACACCACTTAATGCAATGAAGGCTAATTCATTTGCTTGATTCACCTGTGATTGCTTACCACCTTGATTTCGTCTACTATGATTTGTACCACTTTGTATATATGTACTTCTTGAATGCCCTTGAAAGTTGCCTCTTGGATTGTGACCTCTATTCCCACTTTTGAATTGGCGACACTCTGATATCTTATGTCCTGGTTTGTGACATTTATAACAAATTATTGGCTGATTGACTTGAAATGACATTTCATTAATATTAGCTGGTTTACCTTGTTTTGATTTAAGTTTCATTTCTTCATCTAATAGTCTGGATTTTACAAAGTCCATTTTAATAGTTGTATTCATTGTTTCTATAGCTGTGATGACTGATTCATACTCTTCATTTAATGATAGTAATAAATGGCATACTTTGTCTTCTTCTTCTAGTTTTGAACCTGCATTTTCTAAATCTCTTATAAGGGTGTCAAACAACAGAAAATGATCTTCTAATTTTTCATTTCTTTTCAGCTTCAATGTTAACAATTTACGTTTCAATGTTAATTTTGTAAACACACTTTTTCTCTCAAATATGTTCTCTAGGGCTTTAACCATTTCTTTTGTGGTATTTGCATCTTTAACTAAATCCAAGTGTTTGTCTGTTAAACATTGTACTATGATGCTTTTACCTTTGGAATCTTTTAGTTTAAACTCTGCTTTCTCTTTTGGTTCACTGTAGTCTTGCTCAGTTTTCTCCAATACATCTAATAATTGTCTTTCTTCCAGTAGTATGGATACTCTGAATTTCCAATTGTTAAAATTTGTAGCATTTGTCAGCTGAGGAACATTGACTATTGCATTAGCCATTTTATATTTCACACTTTCTTTTATGCTTCTTTATTTTTTGTTTGTCTGGGCCCATAACCTATTAGAATTTGTTGTTTCCCAGTGAGGTAATACAGAGATAGCAGTGAATTATTTGATTACTTTATTTTACAAAAGTACTAAAAACTAAACATGTGCTACATTCTACAAAATATATTTTACAACTGACATATGACAACCGGAATCACTTAAGACATTGTGAGCCAGTGTTGCCAAGTACAAAATTCCAATAATGTAAATATATTTAATATTTATTAATTTTATTATTTTGTTATTAATATTATTATCATGGTAAATTAAACATATGCGTAAGTTATGTATATTGTCAGTTTTTAATAATTATGAATATTGCATTTTAATTTGTATTGTATTATTACATTGAATTATGTTGCAGTGTATTTTATTGTATTTTTATATTAATAACAAAATAAACAATGAATTTTACTTCAGAGTCATGCACGGAGTGCATTCAACTCCTTTATACATATATGAAAATAAAAATATATATTTTCATTAAAATATTGATTCAATACTGAATCAATACTGATTGATCAATTTACTATACTCCTATTACAGGTCAAATGTTTATATATAGCAAACAATGCACCATATATCTATATACCTAATTCTTTTTCTCTTTCTGCTCTCTCTTACCTATAGCATTACATGATATGTAATGATTGTGCAGATTGATTCCCATATAAATTTGTAAAGGCAACCGCGTTTATAGAAGTATAACTTCTACCGGCAGTCCCACTGGACTGCCACATCCGTTTTCTTTTTATTTTACAGTCAAAAAATTGTCGGAACAAAATTATTTTTTTCTAAAAGGCAAACATTCAAGTTTGCTGGACTGTAAAAAATCATTAAACTGAGTCACTTGCTACAATTATGGTACTTTAGTGTAGTATGTAATAGTTATACACGCTCTAAATCATTTAGAGACAATACATATTATTTTATAAATTTTCCAAACTACTTACTTCTTTATTAGTGAATTATTTTTGTAGAATTTAAGGACAATTAGTAAACAATCTATTTTCAGTACAATAAACTAACATTAATATTTACTTAATGTTTCCAGCATGAAAATGGGCTGTATAAGTAGCAAAACAGATATAAATGACAGACACCCTAATATTTTTCAAGTGACAAATGTTGATGATCAAGGGAAGAAGATAAAGTCTGGAAAATTGCAAGTAACCGAAACAGACCTAGTTTTTTACCAAAGAGGAAAGAAACCGACCAGATGGCCTCTCAGAGCTTTGAGAAAATATGGATTTGACACAGATATTTTCAGTTTTGAGTGTGGTAGGAGGTGTCCGACTGGACATGGTATATATGCTTTTAAATGTAGAAAAGCAGAACAGTTATTTAATCTTGTACAGCAATATATTTCAGGTATGTTATGTTTGCTTCATTTTACTATTTGGTTTTATCTGTTGGATCTCATTCTGTTATTTACTAAATATATTGTTTTTGTAACTGGTCTGTGTAGTGCTGTTATTGTTTCAGAGTATCTCTTAATAATGGCACTTCATTTTATTTTTCTCTTTGTTCGCAAATACGTGCAAATTTCAGTTCAAGTTTTATCTGTTGCTATGTGATATCTATCACTTTCATAAGTTCTTTAGAACATTAACATTTTTTCTAATCTTAAATTTTATACACAAAGTTTTGCCTATATTATTATTTTAAATTATACTCAAAATATTAATGTTTTTTGTCTGTTTCATGGCAATTTGATGTGTGATTTTTATTTTTTAAGTATCAATTTTCAGGGTTTTATATTACTTGCTCTATGCATTTGTTTCGGTATTGTTTTAAAGCACATAAATTGAACACCCTTAAATATTATAAAAAACTATTGAAAACATCTATCAAAACAACAAAATGTCAAAATTCAGAATCTTCTTCATGTATCATGTCCTTTCAGAACGTTGGTTACCATCATAGCTATCTTAATTTTATTCACTGCCACCCTAAATAGCATGCTTGTATCAACACCATATCATACCATATAATCATGAGGTTCTTCTTCGTCCTGGACTGCGTTTGCCCACTATTTTTTCTTGCATGATATTTTGTAGCAACCTATATTTGGGACCTTGTTACATGTCCGAAATACTCCAGCTTTCTTTGCTTGATGCTTTTTATGATCTCAGTAGTCTTGCTGAGACGTTCTAGTATTGTGGAGTTTCGAATTTTCTCCACCCAGGAGAAGTCAGAATAGGTGGAAAATTTACAGAACTTATAGAAATAGGCAGCACAGTAAGACAGGGGGATAGGAGCCCTATTAAACTTCAATTTAATAATGAATGAAGTCATCAAAAGTGTTAACAAAGGAAGAGGATACAGAATGGGAAACAAAGAATTACAGAAACAAAGATATACAGATGACTCAATATTGATAGCCCAAAATGAAAATAGTCTGCAAAGACTGCTCCACATATTTGACATAAGAGCAAAAGAATTTAATATGACAATCTCATCTCAGAAAACTAAAACAATAGTAATCAGCAAAGAACCAATCAGACATAAAATAGAAATTGATGGCATCAGTATTGAACAAGTAATGGAAATAAACTACCTTGGAATTACACTGTCCAACTATGGAGACCTGGACAAAGAAGTGAGAGATCAAGTACAAAAAGCAAATAGACTGACAGGATGCCTTAATAACACTATATGGCGATACAGACACATTAACACTTGAGATGAAGTCAAGAATTTATAAAGCCAGTGTGACTAATAATGACATATGCCTCAGAAACAAGACCTGATACAACTACAACATAAAGGCTACCGGAAACGGTAGAGATGAGAGTATTGAGTATTAGACAACCGCTCAAAAGAAGTATGGACGACTCGCAAAAGATTGAGTGACAACCTTCCATAGAGGTATTAATCCGCCAATGAACAATCAGAACTGTTTAAAAGAGGAAGAAGAAGAAATTAAATGACAAACTTATATATAGGATATATAAGTTTGTCAGGTTTGTCAGATATATAGGATATGTCCATCAAGGTCAAGGAGACTATCTGTCAGGAAAAATAGAGTATATCATATATAATCTTGTAAGCTTTATTATCACAATATAAACAAAAGTTGAAGATGGATTCTCTCTTATGCATAATTTGTATACTTTGAAATCAAACTTATGTCATTTAATGTTTATATATTTCCTAACTTTGACACATTCCTTAAAAAGCATTAACATTTCATCAATATACACTTCACAGTTGGTACTTGTAACAACTTTGGAGCGTTCTAATAATTTATACAGGACTGGAGAATTTTTTTAAATCTGTCAAGTCTAAATTCTAAACTCTTCATGATTGTTGAATCGCCAAATGTTTTACCTTTTTACCTACACTTTCTGTGGTCTACACTTTCTGTCTGTGAGTCACCTTGAATGACCCCTAGGTGCGAAAAGTAATCCTAGTTCCTCTCTCATTGTAGTTCTTCTTTTAATTTCCAGAATTGTAGTGTATTTAGTTTAGTTAGACTAGGTTATTAAGTGAACGATATTACACATTTGCTGCTGGCTGGATGGGTACTTAGCCCAATTACCAAGAAAAAAAAACCTTTCATGATGGCCCTTTATGTCTTTTATCTAGTTGGCTTATTATATATTCCTTTATATTAGTATGAGAGTCCATTGCAAAGTAACTATGTTCATAATGTAGTTAATCAAACTCACATTTTTACATATATGCATTTAAGAATAGGAGAATACATTGATAACAGGTTGCCAGTCAAAAAATGCCTCGAATAGTTTTAATTAAATCAATGGTAATAAATTTTTGAACAAAAATTTCGTTCATTTACTTTTTAAATAAAATACGCTGCTCATGACATATATGCATGTTTTTTATATCAAATTAAAGCAATTTTTTTAAATATGATCATATAAGGTTGCCTAAGGTTGTTGATAATTTAGGGTTGCCAGGTATTAAAAATGAAAGGTAAAAACTGACATCCATTCGCCATGTCAAACCAGCGACGTTGTATGATATTGTAAGTGATGAACTTCAAATATTTAGGACTCAACATTACCACTAGTAGAAACCTCAAGGAGGAAGTCAAAGCACATACTAACAGGACAGCAATTATGGATATCTACATGACATTATCTGGAGGAACAATCACATAAGCGTAGGATGTAAACTGAGAATATATAAGACCTACGTAAGACCAGTAATGACCTATGCGATTGAGACCAGAACGGAAACAACTGCAACCAAGAAGCTCCTAAGGACAACTGATGTGAGAACGCTGAGATTTAGTGATGGTTATACTCGTAGGGACCAAAAATGGATGGGTTTATAAAAGAACAATGCAATATCTGGGATATCGTAAGATGAGCTAGATAAAAGCAGGGAGTGGAGAGACCACATCAGTACAAGTTTGCAAAATTGCAAGATCTGAAGAACCCAATACATCGACACCACGTGGGAGATCTTCAAAACCATGCTACGAGAGCTGATCATTATGTCCCAAAACCATTGTAAGAATGCACAGGACTGAGAACTAAATTAAGAGGAAGAGGAAGACTAGACAGTCAAGACTGAGTTCATAAATAGAGTATAAAATATGTTTTTCATATTTTGTCATATATATTTATTCATTATTTTCAAATATACACTTACAGTTTTAAAACTTTTATTAATAGTCATTGCTACTCTTTCTCACCGTTTTTTATGGCATTATTTATATCTGTTATATGGCTTTTAGGCAACGTAACAGAAGATCCAAATGTTAACCACAATGACGTCCACGCCAGCAACGGCCAAATATTAGTTACTAGAAGACCAAATTCAAATGCTCATTTCCAAGCTCAAACTGAGGGCTACCTGAATCCGGTATCAGTACCACCTGTAACAAGACCAGTTGTTGGAAATAGTCGACCTGGTTCTGTGGGTAGCAATGGTCCATTGAGCCCTACATTATCCCCTCCACCCTTAAGTGATGTATCCACTGAGCATAACAATAACAAGAGAGGCAGCTTGATACCTGAACCAACTTATACCAATAGTATAGGGGTGGAGAACAGTGTTAGTTTTCAGCAGTATATGAACATGGGTGGTGCTGATACAGTTGGGGATGTCAGGTATGTATATTTGTTGTTCAAACATTAATTTATTTTGGATAATTTGCTGAACGTTTATGTAGTAAACACCACAAAGCTAGATAGTGGAAGAAATATAAAATAAGTATACCATGTACTGAGACGATTTACACGAAGAAAGAACTACTACAGTTACTGATAATTATTTTCCTGACCAAGTTGTGCAAATCGGGGTTAATTTTTCAATTTTTGTCTAGTTTTGGGGAATATTCTGGTACTTCAACTGCTAGAGAGCTCTTTTATGATAAAGAAGTATTGCTTCCACTTCTGCTGAGCAGAGTGTCAGTACTAATGATAGTAATATTTATGTTACATACTGTAAATATTTTTATTTTATAAAATTGATATTTTTAGTACATCTCATGTATATATGAATGTCGATATGCCCCATTCTGTACCAGAAGACTTGGAAGATCGCCATTGCTACGCTAACATCGGTGTCGAAGAATTAGAGGCACTTCGACCTCCAGATACGCCTCTAGTTCCATGTGTTAATCTCGAACATCCCGTTGTAGAAGAAGTAAATTATGCAGAGTTGGATTTGGACGGTGGTGGGGACGGCACTGTTAAGTCACCCCAGGTAAGTTTCTTTTATAGATTTATATCACTCATCCATTCTGTTTTGTGTGCTTATATTAGAAATTGAGACCCTAAATCTACAAAAAGACATACCAAAAATGTCGAGGTATTGGTTCCACGCAACTAAGAATGGTGAAAATTTATTGATGTTGAAAATCACTCTTTCCAATGGTGGAAGCCATTTTTTAAAAGCCAAATGGCATTTGATGATCGTTGTCTACTTACAATATATTATAGGGATGTGTTCTAATGCTATCTTTTTAATTTTGATATCTATTTTGCACCACGAATAGCTTCCACCACGTGATACGAATGTGAACATGATTGAGATCATAATCAATTAGTTGGCTGTTGACTACTGTCAGACCCACAAGTGGGTGTGTTTCGAGTAAGGACCGATATGTTCCCTTTTAATTAAATTCATTAACATCGACAATGTGTCGCATTAATTTTAATTTTTTCAATCTCTAACATATAAATTTAATAATTCTACTGTTTTGTGATAAGTTATTGAGCAAGTACTCAATGTTTCACTAATAATGGTCTGATAGGACCAAAACCGTTTTAAAAAATCGTAATCCGTTTGTATGTTTCATTTTTAATGTTTTTAAACAAATATACCCAATACTTTGAAAGATTTTTACTTGACTTTAAGATTTTTGAACTATGGTATACAGCCAACCACTGGGAACTATCCCATTTTAATCTTTTTGATATCTTCGTCCTCTTTTATTGTTTGTTCTTTCTTCAATAATTAATTTTATTCTCTTACCTTACTTACCTCTAGTCCTGTTTTGTTCATTCATCCATTCTCTAGTTTCTGTTTAAATATATTTTCCTCCTCAGTCGTTCTTTTTCTTTTATAATCATCTGAGGTATCATCCCTGTCTATCATGTTTATTTACGCGTCTACGATAGAGTTTCACCCAGTTAAACTTCTGGGATGTTCAGTTTCTTTTATGGCTGTAATTTATTTATTATTGATGTTTTTTTTCCTGATTTTTTAGTTAGTTTGGTAATGTCGTTTTGAACGAGACTCGTTTCGCTCAGCTAGTATTTTGCTGTGATTTATGACTTGATCTTCCGTTTATGTATCTTTACGAATGATCTTTGTCTGTGTATTACTGTTATAACGAACTGTTTTTTCGCTAAAACCTTACACACTATTTATACTCCAAAATTATTATTATTTCTCCAAATACTAGTTTATTTTTCGTTATTACAACCAAAATTTGGGAAGACTAGTTGGCTATAAATTTTGCACAACTTTACCACTCTTTAATATTTTTAAACCATTTAAAAACAGCTACTCACTATTTTACAAATATCCATATCCATATACAGGGTGACAATAATTGACAATAGGACGATTTTGAATTAAATGGTACACAAGAAATTTGCAAGAAAATACTATTTTATTATCATAAAAATGAAGCTTATATTATACCATTTATAATGTAATTAAGATGGAAAATAGTGTCATCAAGATAGTGACCATCACGTTGGATGCAGTTTTCGATCGTCTATGAAATCCTCTATAACACGTTCTAACATCGCTCGATCAATAGTCAGGATTTCCTGGCTCCAGGTTACTCAATCAAATTACTAGGCTTGCTAGCATATACACCACTCTTTACATACTCACATAGAAAAAATCACAAATTGACAGGTCTGGAGACCTTGGGGGCCACGACAAATCTCCGAAGCGTGAAATGAGGTGTCCTGGGAACAGGTTGCGGAGAATATGTGACGTGGCACCATCCTGCTGAAACCACACATTCCTTGGGTTTATCCCTTTTCTGCGTAGTTCTAAATCCACAAATTTTTAAATCATTTCAACGTAGCGAATATAATTAACGATGACGGTATGGCCCTCTTCGAAAAAATATGGCCCAATATTGCCAGTGGGACCAATGGCAGCATTTTCAGAATGTGAAGGACGCTCAGATTTCGTGAATTTTCAGGAGCCCAGTACCTGTAATTCTGTTTATTAACGGTTCTGTCCAAGTGGAAATGAGCTTCCTCGCTTATTAGAAGATGCTGACTTAAGTTATCCTCCAAAAGAACCTGCATTCTCGTAGCGAAATCCTCACGTTGTTCAACATCTCTCCATTAATTTTTGGACAATCTGCAATTTGTATGAGGGAAATTTTAGGCCCTTTCATCTCTCACTCGCTGTATGTTTACTGGAGTTCTTACTGTTCTATTTGGACCTTGTTGCTTTTATTTTCATGACACTGCCTGTTGTTCTAAAATTCCTTATCCATCTTAAGATTATGTTGCGAGATGGAACCGCTCCACGCCTACCAATATTAAAGTGAGTGCGAAAACGCCGCTGCGTAGTGATCACTGATTCTTGATTTCGGATAAACGTATCGTATGTAAACGTACGATGTTCTACCGTCCACCGCTCCATGTTTACTAACATTACTGAAGTGGCACACTACTACAGAGGTAGTAACGCCACGCTTGTCCCATTCTCATTCCCTCAAGCTTCGTAGTATGTGTTCTAAAAACATCCGGCTCCTGATTGTCACCCAGTATATGTATAACACAGTCATAAATCGTGTTAGAACATCTATAACTCAAGAACTGTACCGATTTTATTGATATTTTTTTTTAAGTCGGTACCAGTTATGCACCAATTATGCTGCACCAATGTAATATAACTGCCAGACAATTTAACGTGTTAATTTCCCCAAAAAAGACCAAATTCATGGTTATAACAGCAAATTTACTAAGATGATGTAAATTGGAGCTGGAAGGTCAAATAATAGAACAAGTGATGGTTTAAATATCTGTGTTCATCACATTACAATCTAGCTACGGAAAGCTTGAAACAGAATTAGAAGATCAAGTGAATAAAGCAAACAGAGCCGCAGGCTGCCTGAATAAAAACAATATGGAAATAAAAATATCGGGAAAGAAATGAAAAGCAGAATTTACAAAACAGTCATCAGACCAATAATGACATACGCAGCAGAAACACGACCTAACACAGAGATGACAAAAAGAATGTTAGAAACAGCAGAGAAAAAAACACTTACAAAAATTTATGGTTAAACACTATGGAACAGAGCTAGAAGTACAGATATACGACGTAGATGCAAGTTGGAGAAAATCAAGGACTGGGTAAGAAGTAGAAGAGTAGAATGGAATGGTCATATAAGTTGAATGACAACAAATAGATTAGTAAAGACTGCAAGAGATGATTCCCCAACAGGAAGACGATTAGTGGAATGGCCAACAACGATGGAACGACAACTTACTGGAGGCACATTGAAAAACAGAGTCATGTCTACATAAAAGAAAGAAGAAGAAATTTTCTATCACGTTTATTTTTTTTTGTTTTGATTGATTATTAAAAAATATTAAAGAAAAAACCGATGCACATGGTGGTGCATGAAAACTCGAAAGGCCGTATAGTACACGCGAAATTTAAGGATGAAGAAGTTTTTATTCCGAGAATTTACTAAACACTGTAGTGATATATTTTATTATATATTTTTTCTTTGTTGCAAGCTAAGCCGATACCTATTATATATTATAGTAAACTCTTAAATATTGGGGAAATCTGCAAGAAATACTCTAATGAGTATCAATTGTTTCGCCGGACGTTTTCGCCAAAGAGATTTTTTTGGCTTCTTCAGGGCTGAAAGAGAATAAATTATAATTAGCTACCATATATTATCTATTAAAAAACATTATTGATCTTGCCGTAATTTAGAATTGTTGAGTTAGGATGTTAAAAAACTTAGCTAGTAACAACATAGTGGTGTTTTTTGTTACTATGTGCAAAAAAAGTTTTTTTGAACGTTGGAAATGTATGGTAGCTTTGAACTTAAAACGCAAAGGTTTACCCAAGGTTAATAAAAAAACCCAATGTAACTACATTTAAAAGGAAGTAATTCTTTGAATTGTCGGCAATAACTAAATCTTTGATTGTTAGAAAGTTTAAATGTGAGGTTCTGTTTTATCAGAACGCATGCGCTGACAATTCAATTCTTTGTGACAAGGCAAATCCTTGAATGTTTGTGTACTAAATATAGAAAATAATCGTTTCTCTCATAGTCGTGTATGTTGACGTGTAGACAAACCGTCCACTTTGTTTATTCTTGCGCTTGTCAACACAACGAAAAATATAGTATATCACAAGGCAATTTAATGAAAATAATCGACTCATGACTGCAGCCCACTCATCTAATAATTCGTTTGTTGCCACGTGAATTAGCTCTTTCTTGAACTTTCATTGAACTTAATTAATTTAATCTTAATACAAAAAAGTTAATAGAACTCAGCTAATAGTTTAACAGAACATTAATCAATTTTAAGAAGGTACAAAGTTTGCCGGATCAGCTAGTATTAGAAACTTAACGACAAATCTGAAACTACTTTTATTGTTTGTCGCTAAAGCTGGTCCTGAATTGATTTATTAATTCCATTTATTTGTTTAATGTTTGGCTGGTTAGCCACTGGCGTAGGCTTACTGTAGGAATACCTATCCTATTGTTTATATTTTTTAATACATTTCACTTCACTGTATTGTAAATTTTCAGGCGGTTCCAGAAGGCCCTAGTATAAAAGAAAAATACGTAACAATCGACTTTCAGAAAACGACAGCTTTATCACAGTCAATAAACCCCAGTATGACAGTTGAAGAAGGGTGCAGGAAAACAAGGCACAATTCTACTATCAACTACAATAGTTCAATAAGCGATTGAACCTAATCGATGGTTTGTGATGTATTTTGTATTTATTTGTCTATAAGACAATCGATAAGGTGCGTTTTGTTTCTTTTTATATGGTATTGACAGTAATTTCCTACAAGTTATAGCAGTTTCTGGTATTACATTAATCTTGGGAAGACAAAACTTCCCTATAATGTTCACAACTTGGATCATTAAAATTGTTTATACGTTAAACAGTTAAAATTTTAAAGTTATTTATATATTTCATGCTACTCTCAATATGTTTCAAGCTCCCTTTCGTACTAGTGATATTTATTTTAATTGTATTAATAAAAATCAAACACGTTGTCGAGAGACAAAATAGCAGTTGTCGAAACATATGTAAAAAACAAAAATTAAGATTGAAACTATTGTTACAATATTCTGTCGTTTGGTGTTAAGTCTGTTAAATTTTGTACATAACCTTGTGAAACCGTCCAAGTGGTTAAACATTGTTGAATAGTAGTCAAAAGCATGATAAATCAAGATCTTTTTAATATTTAATGTTAAAATATACATATCTTGTTTATTTATTATAACTGCCGTTTTTTTTATAGCTCTTTCTATATGTTCTACAGAAACTACAATTGACGTTAACACAGTTTTTGTTTGATTGGCTCTAAATTGTGTAGGAAGTTACAGTTAATCTAAACATTGATGAAAAAATATACCAACGACTTATATGTCCCCATTAAGTGTAAGATTTCTATACCAAAGCTAATTTTTATATTGATATGTTTAAAAAAATTCCTAATTTTGTTATTTAAGAACATTTTTAAATAGTATTTGTTTTAGTCATAATGACAATTGTCTATAGAATGTTCATTGCAAAATCAGTTATACACCGTCGTAGTCGCTCAATAGTTGTTATTTTCATTCTCAGAATACATACCATTAACAGGGCTCCTAACCTGATAAATTACTATATTTGTGGAAAAAAGTTCTTAATGACTTGACAATTCCATTTACAGCCCTTTTGTTATCAAAATCAAAACACAATTTGGCAGAGTTCGGTCAATGATAATTCTCATTGCGTAAATTAAAAAAGTCAATTGGACTTAGATCCGAAAGTCTATTATTCTAAAGCTACAGCCTTCCGAAGATATTGGATTCAGGTGGTCAGTATACGTTAAGCCCACTAATTCACAGTCAAGAGAACTAAAATATTTATTTTTTAAAGAACAGAGACACTTTTCTTGATGCATATTTGCACGCTCAATATGAATCCGTAATCAAAAGTCTCCGAAAAACTGAAGAACAGCAATAGAAAATGTGCTGCTAGAGCGATATAAGAATTAACATATTTTCACAAATGCTGCAGCTCCGCCTTATCTTCAGAGAACTACTAAAGCGCCTTCAAAAACTGAGAAACAAATACAACGACAAGTGCTGCTAGAGCGGCAGAAGACATATCACATTTTCACGCATGCAGAATATATACCTGACCTCAGCAAGGCAACAGTACCATTTGATTTTGAAAAAAACACTGAATCATTATTAAAAAAAAAAATGAAGAATAATAATACTTAAAATATCAAGTTATTACATATATTTAGAATTTCTTTAAGCAAATTTGTAAGTTTCTGACAAATTCGGGTTTTAGTTTTCTTCAACTGTCTGTATGTTAAGATTCTGCTGATTTCGGTTAAGTATGTTAAAGTTCTGCTGATTTCATAAGCCGTGTTAAGTAACGACCTATGAGGAACATTGGATTAATGTCTTGCTTAGCCAAAAACCATAACATACTGGTTCTATGAGCACAAGTACTCACAGTTCTCGCATCAGATTGACAGGTGCAGTAGTATCCGCTAATCGGGTCTTCTGCATTGTCTTCATGAACCATGTAGGAAATGTTTTGTAGCTTGTCAAAACCTAGAAAATATTGGAACTCTTATAAATCCGGGTTCGTCTATATTCTCGTCAATTTAAAACTATTCGTCATTTGTCACTAATTATTTTATCTTGTATGTAAGACGGTGCAAGTTTAATCTGATATATATATATATATATATATATATAATATATATATATATATATATATATATATATATATATCCAATCGTAAGATCTTATTAGGCATTCTAAATCGAAAACAGGAAAGAAGGTGGCAAAATCATCATTATAAACCCTTATCCATTTCTTCTAATCAGATTGTCAGACTGTCAGTTAATAATTGTTGAGCAACTTTAGCGTGTGGATAAGTGGGTAATACTTATTTAATAGTGCGCTAGCAATACGGAGAAATCATTTAGTTTTTTTGCATGTTGCGTGTTTATGGGATTTTCAAAGAATTTAAAGATGGCCGTAAATGGCCATTTGTTTCTTCTACAATTCATCGGTTTTTCGTAACAATTCGTGAATTATTAGCATCTTTACTTAAAAATTGCTTTTGTCCACGTGGTAAAAATGCTGGCATTTTATGTTTAATGCCTAGTAATTGTAAAAATGAGATAAAATCTTAATATTCTCTATCTACCAGGACTTTGTCTCCTTTTTGGAACCAATCTCTTAAATAAATTCCATCTCTGGTAAATTCATGTTGGAGTATTTTGGCGTCATTATTGTACAAATCAGAAAAGTATAGTCCCAAAATCGACAAAATATAGCCATCAGGGGTTACAATTAATGTTGGTTTTAAAACATGCCTACTTTTGTGCATTGAATAAGATTGTCGAAGTTCTTGAAAACAGTTGCTTTTGGTTTTATTTGCATTTACCTTTGCATTTACCTTTGGTTCATTCGGATTCGGATTGTATAAAATATTAGAGTTGGCCGTTACATGTTGCTGAATTAATTGATTCCTTGGTATTGCTTGGGACCCAATGTTTAGCATAACAAACATTTGAATTAGTGATCTTCTAACGCGATCTATTATTATACTAACATATTGTCTGCTATTATAACCAAACAAAACCATGAGATAACTGTCACTCAAACCTTGTCACAACTTGCATAGAAACATCAATAAATCTCTTTTGTTAATGTATCTGTCTTAACCGTTTTCGAAAACAGGATCACAGTAAGTCAATAGTTCCTCGAATTGTTCTTTTTTTTATCGGAGCCAAACATTTAAAGTCTTCATTATCTAATTTATCAATAATAAGACCTTTTATTTCTTTAGTAGCGCAAATTATAAGCTCGCCTAAAAACGATGTGGACCTTTGATTGTATATGGTCGATAATTGAAATGTCGACCTGGTAATAAAATATCAAAAACTAGGCTCTTTTCATTAAGATGTCCTACGACGTTGTTAGGTATGAAAATATTTCTTTTTATAAAAATGTTCGCCCTAAAAGACATTGGCATTCACTGAACATTATTGGTAGCATTGCAAAATAAACTGTTTTTCCTAAGACCTAAGACAAGTAGGACTTTGAAGTTTCATTCAACTCTAATGGTGAAGATGAAGTCATGCGCCACCTAGCTAAAAATCTGTGTAGTTATACTTTACTAGTATCTTGAAGCTCTGTAGATGTAACGTAGTCTTTGTCTATTGCACCTAAATCATTTAAGTAAAGCAACATAATGATAAAGTATATTTCATTTTTATTTGCTTAATAAAATACAGGGTGTAAAGCCTTTTATAGTTATATAAATATTACCGTTATAAAAGTAACTTTGCAGCATTATTCTACATAATATTTGCATTAAGAAATTAATTATATTAATTTTGAAAGCTCCAAAGTATACAGGTTAATTAGTATATGATTTGTTTATAGTATGTACATTTCTGAGGTTGTTCCTCAGTTTTCTGAAGGCGCTTCAATAGTTTTCTGAAGGTAAGGCGGAACTGCAGCTATGCTGGTATTGGATAAGTGTGCAGCATTTGTCAACATATGATAATTCTTACCTCGCTCTAGCAGCACATTTGTATGTCGACGGATCATACTTAAACCACTTGAGATTCGCAGATGACTTAGTTTTAATAGCCGATAATATCCAAGAACTAAATGATATGTTACAACAATTAAATGCAGTTTCAGGAGCGGTAGGCTTAAAAATGAATTATAGCAAAACAAAAATACTGAGCCGAGACCAGACAAATATAACAATACAAAATCATACCATAGAAAATGTGGAATATTATGTATATCTAGGTCATGTTATCAAACTAGGAAAACCAAATCAATATGCTGAAATTAAAAGAACACAACTGGCTTGGGGCGCTTTCGGCTAACTAGCACATATCTTGAAAAATACCTCCATTCCTATAAACTTAAAGAAAAAGGTGTATAACACATGCATACTACCTGTTTGTACCTACGGCTTGGAGACAGTAGCACTTACCAAAAAATCTGCCAAAAAATTAGAAACAACGCAAAGAACAATGGAACGAATCATGCTTGGAATATCACTAAGAGACAAGATTAGAAACACCGAGATAAGACGTAGAACGAAGATTAGGGATATTGTGGAAGAAATTACAAAAATGAAATGGCGCTGGGCAGGTCACGTAGCCCGATATAATGACAACAGGTGGACACGGAGAATTCTAGAATGGAGACCAAGGACGACAACAAGAAGCATGGGAAGACCTCAAAAAAGATGGGTCGATGACATAAGAGGAGTGGCAGGCAAACAGTGGATTAGATTGGCGCAAGATAGAGAAAGATGGAAGCAATTGGGAGAGACCTACATTCAGGAGTGGATGGAAAAGGTTGACAAAGAAGAGAAAGAAGATTCTCTATTTTGAACAAACAAGAACCAAGGAATTTTGAAAAAACTGAATATCAGCTCAAACGAATAGATAAGGTAGAAGTTTGAAAGTCGATGGAATCATTGTATTGAGCTGAAAAGAGTCTATGCTGAGTAAAATAAAATCAGTTTCTATAGAAACCTATTTTCCATTTCAATGGAAGTTATTTATCAGACCACCTAGTAATATGTAACACAGTGAACATAAAATAATTATATCCTCAGCAACAGATCATAAATTTAACAATTTTAATATAACTTATGTCAAACTTTTTTCATACTGAAGCATGAGACAAAT